TTTTTTTTTTTTTGTTATTAGATATTCTAAAATATTTCAAAGAACTATTGAATTACATGAGGGGAAATGATGAATAAAATATTTTCTACAATCTTTTACTTCATACCTTTCCCAATGACAGAAACGAATCATTAAATCGTAATTCGTTCATCCCTTGATATTTTTTTGAAATATTTTGAAAACATCTTGTCATTATTATAAGCCTCACTGTTCTAATTCGAACGATTTACGACCGATTATTTCTTACCGGTCATTTATTTATGTATTACATTTTATATGGCATTTTAATGACATTTTAATGACAGGAATCGTATTGTTCTATTTCAAAGTATCTCAGACTAGATTATTCGTATTATTTACTTTACTTATATTAGATTTTACTCAGAAATTAGTTAACCATTTATGTTTAATTGATTGTGCACTTCCAAACTATAAAGTATATAACAATATGGTGAATTCATTATTTATAGAGCAACTAATCTAAAATGCAAATCTCAAAAAGTTTACATTTTTATTCAATGAAATCGTTATGAATTTATATGTTATAATATATGATATTATCAGTGTAAGAGTTAAATTGAGTTCGATTTGAATTTTATTTATCTGAAAAGACTCATAGTTACGTAAAGGAAACGTATGAAACAGATCCAATAAATGATTACTAGTTTTATTTCTATTATTAAGTAGAATATTTTATGTGCTATAATGTTTTTCAAAATATGAGCACAAAGTTTATAGACATTGTTTATCAATTTAGAAATAAAATGTTCCTTGATTCGAGATTCAAATTCTTTGAGAATTAATCTAAAATACTGCAAGCCTTTTTTTTTTTACACAGTAATTTTTATTTCGTTCACTGATCGTACGAAGTTGATATAAAATTTGAGCTGACGAATAGAATCCCTATCACTAATTTTGTAAAATATTTAAAAGATACTTTGTGATAGCTACATAAATCTTGACAATCTATCTAAGTTTTCGAGATGCAGGAATACAGTGTACAAGTTGGAATTTCCAGACTCATTCAAGGGGAAACGTTCACAAGTGTCATCACTTCTTCTGATGTGTTATAATTTCATCGTTCTAACAACGAAAACGATTAAATCAAACGACGAGAATCAAAATGAACGCATAAGAGCATAAAAAAATAAATTAAAGAAATAAAAAACAATGATCCGAAATCGTGAAATTTTTGCGTAGTCTATCGAAACACCAAGACCGTAATAGAATTGCCAGAAACAGGACTCACCATTGCTGTTGAAGATGGATCTTCCTCCAGGACGCTGTAATCTCTCCCGCTTGAGTTACGAGACACTTCTACGGAGATCGGTACTAACAGCAGCCCTTAAATAGTCGTTTCGACGGCTGCATACGTTACGATGTCCCTTCCTCCTTCCTCATGCGTGAGAACATTTCTCAGCACAATACATGCTATCCCTTTGATCCCACGGGGTCGAAGGTCGCGCAGACCGAGATTTTTACCTGTTTCCGGGCTGGCAAAAAGGGGATGCTCGGGTATTCGGACACGCTGCAGCCCGGGGGGATGATGGCTACGAAGAGGGGAAAGATGGTAACGGTCGTTTTCTTTCAGGTTCTATAGACAAGGGTGCAGGTTTCTGTTCGTGAGAATCAAATCTAGCAGGGCAAGGAAATTCGCGATGTCCTACAACGTTAAAGAGATGATTCACTTTTAATGTATGAAGGCACAAATTATTGCAACGATAATATCATATTTTTGTCTTTGATCTGAGAAGCAAAATATATATATATATATATATATGAGATGAATGTAAAAAATAACAGATTTGTTACTAGACTGCGGTTTTTTTGTACATTTTTTTACCTGAAATTGAAACTTTACAGCTACACAAAAATGTATGGGACGCGCATACAGTATGCAAACATATATGAAATATTTAATGTAGAACACGTGCCACAATATTTAATAGACGAAACGCATACGCATAATTACATTATGAATTGTAATTATTACCGTCTATGTACATAAAACGTAGCAGACGTAACAAAAATCATCTATTTGAGGAATTATTATAGAAAATACTTATACAGATTATTATAGAAAATTTATTTTTTTTTAATAACAGTTATAAATAAAATTAATGACCATATGATTTGTTATTATAATTTTAATGTAATATTTTTATATATTGTTGCAATTCCAGAAGAAAGAATGTAATTCTTCATGCAATTTAATATACAGAATGTAAAAGAATATGTATCCACTTCAGGAGCTGATTGTACACTTAAAAACAATGAAAAAAGTTCATATAAATACAAAATCTCTCTGTCTTCGTTTACGAGATATAATATAATTATATAATTATATTATAATGTACATTTAAAAACAATGAAAAAAGTTCACATAAATACAAAATCTCCCTGTCTTCGTTTACGAGATATATGATTATATAATTATAATAACAATTATAATTACAAGATATAATATAATTATATAATTATATAATAACAATTATAATTACAAGATATAATATAATTATATAATTATATAATAACAACAGAGCAAACTCTCTATTCGTAAACTGTAGAGATATCAAAGACAATATTATTATCATAATATTTTTCTATACTATGATAAGAATATATAATACATAATAATAATATCAATTCTATCAATTCTATCATAGCATTCTGCATTTGTCATCAATATTTCAAGATATTTCAAAAAAATGACATTTTGAAGAGAACTGTATACAAAATATTTTGTGCAATCTACAACTTTATGTCTTTCTTGCTTATCCTGTTGCAATACAAAATTTTTAGAATATTATACATCATAATTTAAATAATTTCAATTCTCTTTTAAGCATGAATCTTCTGTTTAAAGATGGAAAGAATTAAAAGATTACTAGAGTAATAATAATAATTATTATTAATATTATTAAAGTAGTTATAATGTGTTTAATATTAACAAAATTCATATAAGAAATACTTGCAATCATATAAGAAATACTTTCAATCATTTGATCATGTGAACGTGTTATTTTTCATCTTATTTTTCCCTCTCCTATTATTCAGACCGTTGAAAGTGGTTCAACGGTAGAAAGATCCAGTTTTACTCTTCGTAACCGTTGAGCACTTAAGAATAAAGATAAATTAAAATTTCGATTAATTAAAATATTGTAAGTCTTGCAATATTTGTTAAAATTGATATATAAGTTGATCATAAGATGCATTGCAAATGCGTTTATAAAATGATACTATTATACCATATATATTATATATAGATTATTACTTACAAAATCTTACTAATTATAGAATCTTCATAAATAAATTTTTCTAATCGTAGAATCTTCAAAACTTCATAAATTAATTTGGTATAATGTGACTCATGAATAAGTTTATCACATACGTTTTGTGTAAAAGCGTAATAATAAGACATGTAATTGTTGATTAAATAAATAATGATTAAATAGAAACTCGTGTTAAAAACTATGTGCGAAACTTATTTTGTATACTTTTAACGATACTCACGAACAATTTCGATCCAAATTACAAATTCCCGAGAAATTAAATATACACATGCATATTATTTGAACGAGTGCTTCGATCTATCGAGTAAAAATTTTAAATCTTCATTCTACATTTTATAGGTAAAATCAAACAGAGGATTGAGGTTTAGGATGTAAACACAAAAGATACAACTGCAAAAATTCATAAATAATTTTTCCAATTAGTATTTTTACAAATGAAAATTTCACCGTTTTGTGGATATTGAAATACTAATGCAGCATAGTAATGAACAATGATTTTAAAATCCCTTTGTCACACACTAGTGCGCTTTTTGTCATACAATGTAAGTCTTTCCTTGTTATATACTATTGCCCTCTTTGTTCAGAAAGATACTGCCATCTATCAGCAACAGCTAGAACTATCTACACAGACGTATATTATCAACCGATAATAGCTCTTCTTTACCATCTTCTAAAACGTGTGTGTGTGTACGCGGTGTGTATAATCTGTAATATATATGATAGACGCCATATTTATTCCTTTAAAAAAGTATATATTTTAATCGCAAAATAAATCCAGGTAAGTTATCATTTGAATATATATTTATAAAAAATCTAATTTTGACAACGTTTCATGAAAATATTTTTTTTTTGTAAGAAGTATGTCAAAGATTTGACTAAAATAGACGAATAGTAACAATCGCTGTTAGCTGGGAGTGTGGCGGCTCCTGTAATCCGGCTACTCGGAGGCTAGTTATGATGGAGGGTCTGAGAGCGGGGGTTCCTGTTGGTGCGGGACTCACGTCGACTGGGCGTCCGCGCTAAGCTCGCCATCAATATGGGCATCCTGGAGGAGTTCGGGATGGCCAGGTTGGCTAGGGAGAGGCGAACCGGGCCAGAGGGGAAACCCAGCAGCCAAAAGTCTCCGTGGCGGGCAGTAGTGGGATCGCGCCCGGGAGTGGGACCGCAGTGACAGCCTGGTCAATATGACTCGACTCATAACTTTTTTTTGTTTTTTTTAACTTCTCTCATCTTATTTCAGATAACAAATACCATATACAAATGTTTAAACACATCTGTTAATTTTTTACAATGCAATTTCTTTGAACTCTTAAAGCATGACAAAAGTCTAATTACTATATGAAATTTTCATTGTTTTTCATGTTTATTATAAAAAAATATATCTTATTTTCCATAAATACTTTGTTGTTATTTTATGAAGTTGAAAAAATCGCTTAAAGATTGCAACTATCATATATTTTGACCTGCTTTTCTATATTTTATAATTATACATTTGCTCTTTCTTATATATTCTTGATATTACTATTTTGATAGTTAATAAAATTGTTTTATATTATAAATTGCTTAAAAATTTGTTTTTGGAAAAGTAATTAAATAATTAAAATTGAGGATAAAAGAGAAACTTGGTAAAAAAACTTTAAGCAAATAATGTGTGTTATTAATAATCAAATATGATAAAGATATTTCATTTTTTATATCCAAACCTATAACGTTACATTTGTGTATCAAAATGATTTCAAGTCTGCTACTCAATACTCAATATATTACTAAATTGTATATTTAATACTTTAAAACTAATGTCTTTATTTGTTAACATCATATAAATGACATATTTCAAAGTAGAAAAGTTTTTCAAAGTTTGAAAAATAAGAAATATTGAATAAAAGAATATATACGATTTTTAGAAGTTAGTTAAAATATAACTCAGTTAATCTACTGATTCAAGAAAAAAATATCAAATTGATGAATTAATACTACAATGCTACATATAGAAAATCTATTTATTCTTACATTATTATTCAGCATTTTCTTTTTTCTGTTCTTTACTTTCTCTTCAATAGTATAAGAGGACAATGACATTATACTTAATATATGGGTTGGAAACTGTATAAAGAAAAATTCATAGAATTTCAGAACACTATTATTAAACAAGAAAATATATAAAAAAATGCAAGCTATACAATATAATTGTTTTTATAATTTCTGTTTCTCTTTCTTAGCTTGTTCAGCAAGTGTTTCTAGACGATCATGTTCTGCAATTAAAGCATCAACTTCACTCGTGGGAAGAATTCTTGTAATGGTTTTATTATTTTCTCTTGTTAAAGTAACCATTTCCACTGAAATAAGATACAAAATAATTAAAAGACTAGAAAATTTCACATTTATAAAATTATATTTAAATTATATACATTTACCTTTGTCTCCTGATAATTTATTAAGATCTAATGTCTTAGAGAGCACTTTTATAGCCAGTGCTTTTGCTTCCTCTAATGTAATATTGTTGTTATCATATTCCTGTTTCAATGATGATACTGCAGCAGCAGAATTATGTCCAATACAAGTTGCTTTCCAACCACCGTAATTTCCACTTGGATCTGACTGATATAATTGGTAACCATAATGTTTATCCCATCCCATATATAAAATCGAAACACCAAAAGGCCTTTTTCCACCATATTGTGTATATGCTTGTTTTACATCGCACAGCCAAGAAACAAGTTGTTCGCAAGGAATAGGTTCTCCATATTGTAACAAATAACGTTGTGCAATTAAACGTAGTTCATTTGTTAATACGTTAGCATCAGAAGTAATGCCAGCAACAGAACACACAATATCATCATTGAGTTTGTAGATCTTTTCAGAATAATACACTTCATCTAATAGCTTATTTATATTGCGTCTTTCTGCTACAAGTAAAATACCATCAGTTGCTAAAATGCCAAGACAAGTACCTGCATGGCTTATAGCTTCCATTGCATATTCCACTTGATATAGACGGCCTTCAGGAGAAAAAATCGTGGTACGTGTATCATATCTACGAGCCTATTAGCATAAAAAAGAATAATTTATATTTCATTTAAACTTTTAGCAAATTTTATAAGATGATATAAGTCTTATTGAACTTTATTTCAATATAAAAATACACTTTCCATATAAAATACTAACTACAAAAACTTAATACTCAAAATACTCAAATTAATAACAAGGTTGTAAAATAAATAATAGAAGATCTTCTTTTATATTTTCATTAGCTTCTTATATAAACAATAGTAAATAAATTTCTAAACAGAATATTAGTAAATATTTGAAACATAATAGTAAATATAACAATAAATTTTTATAACTATAACAAAAATTCTGTTATTGGTGAATGACAATGCAATTTATGTAACCTCTCAATTTTAGTAAAAGATAGCTGAAAGATTAATGATAATTGCAATAATAATATTGAATTAATATATTCATCGTATTTCTTTATACGTACCATTATATAAGGTTTTTATTACGACAGTTATAATATTATGAGTGAAATTGAAAAATTAACACTAGCAATCACAAGTGATTTGTATAAGTCGGCTTTTTGAAGAACTTCAGAACACACTAGGTGAGTTTGTTCCGAAAATTGACAGGATTTTGTGTCAATATTAATGCACAGGTATGTTCTGCAATGAAATTATATAGGAACACACAATAGATGTTCTATTTTCTGGGTTAAATCTTTGTAGAATAAATAAAATGAATAATAATAAATAATTAAATACATATATAAATAAAATTAATTAAATTATATATATATAATAAATTTTAATATATATAATAAATATATTTATAAGTATCTCATTATAAGTATTGCTTTTTTCTATTATGTTTCTATTCTAAATATCATTTTTTTATCTTTTTATAAATGTTCACTTTATTGCGTATTTATTACACAATTAATTATGTGCTTTGAAAACATATTTAAATTTATCTCATAAATATACAGTCAACTTATCAGAAGACCATTGAATTTCCGTACGACTTTTTTAAGTCGTTAATATAACATAAGCAAACGAAAAAATAGAAAAAAACGATCTTGAAGAAATGAAAGACAGTGTAATGCATAAACTGCTTTTCTTTATAGATTATGTTGTATTAGGCTGTAAACAAAAAATAAAAATCAAGCTTAAATTAACATTAATTTCATCTGACCTCCGATAACCAATATTAACGCAGGCATTAACACGAAACATATCTCAGAAATTATTCGTTTCCGTGAAAAATAATTCTTTTTTTCGACTTTGACGATCCGAAATATTCCTAGGTGTGAATGTATATCATTTCAGTAAATGTACCAAAGTATCTAATTAATACTAATCTAAATCTAATTTTTATTATAATTTGTAATCGCTTTTCTTATTTCGTATGTGCAATAAAATAGTTAGAAAAAGTTGTAATGCAGTTTATGAAAAGAAGTAATTTTTCGACAAATCATATCTTATTTTTTTCCCCAAGATCATTGCAATTCGTTCGATTTTTTTATTTTCTGATTTTGTACATTATAGCAATGCGAAAAAATCTTCGCTCAAAATTTTTCAATTGATATTCATGTTTTGTTCTATTTATAACTGTTATTATATTTATTAATTAATAAAAATATAATAATGAAGACACAAGATATTTAATATTGTTTATTCTCAAATATATGTAATGTTGGATTAAATATAATCATACATTCAGATATTTAAAAAGAAACACAAAATTACATTATAAAATCCATTACACATCAATCCTAAACAAAAAAAAGAAATATAAAATAATAATATATACGTCATAAAAAAATAAATCACAATATTGAAGTATTTTCTACTCCTGTTCATTACCATAGAGAGAACTTAGTTTTTTTGTATTTTCAAGTTCCTTCAATTCTTCTTCTTTCATACTGGAATTCAAATATTGATAAACTCTAGTAAATCCTCTTCCAGTGGTAACTTTTTTTGCTTCTCCATAAAATTTTGGTGTCATTTTTGGATTTAACCATTTTGCTTCCGTATAGAATTTTGTTGCCATTCTTGGATTTGACCCAATAACATTCTGAGATTTAGAACTATTTCCTCCATTTGGTTGAAGATTATTTTTTTGAATATCATCGTTTTGTGCTTTAAAAGTACTTCTTTGAGGAACATATGCATTCATTTTAAAATCATCCTTTGTATCTAAAATGTTTTGTTTCACTTCAAGAAAGTCTTTAGTTAACATAGAGGCATTGTCTTCTTCATTGGAAACATTTTTTTTGTCATTTTCATTAAAATTATTTCCCGAAATGAATGAAATATTATTTGTATCAATAGTATTATTTCTGAAAGAATTTTCTTCAAACTCTGTTACTTTATAGCTATTGTCCATAACGAAAATATTCTTTTGTTTTGATGAATTACTGTTTGCCTCCATATTGATTTTGTCTAACTTTGAGACCAGGCCATTAAACTCTTTGTCACATAATATTGCTTTAGAAGGTTGTTTAGGTGCTTGCAACGGCTGTTCAAGGTCTGTTTTCTTTCTTGCAATATTTTCTTGCAATGCATTATTGGTATCCTTGTTCTTAGCAAGAGCTGCCAATCTATTTCTTTCATATTGTCTGAATTGTTTCTTCTGTGATTTCGTCAATCCAATTGGTATTCTCACTATATCTCTGTTTTCTGTCGCAGCCATTGGATCATATCTAAATGTTTGACCACTTCCGGACTCTTCTTCAATCTTTGTAACGCATTCCGACTTAAATGTATCTTCTGTTAGAAATGTTCCAACATCTTCCTCTGATTCAAATGAGATAAACTGACTTCTTATGTGTCCACTTGATGGACACTCTGCTACATGATCCTGTACAAATAAATATCAAAAGCGAAAACTGAAAGCTTACTTTACCTATTAAATCTTAAATTTATTTGTAAAGTAATACAGCTAAAATATTAATAATAACATAAAGAAAATATTTAAAAAATATATAAAAAATTATGTAAAAACGCTTTTTAATTCACCTCGTATTGTTGTGGATCAATCCTATGTGATGAATCAAAAATACAAATACTTTTGAAATCTTTAGGATAATTTTTGGCACATTTCATTAAATGAACTTGCAACCTGGACTTTCTAATGCGATGTAATTTGTTATATGGACAAGTAGTATAAACTTCTATACTATTCATTTTTTCCTAAAGAAAAAAAAATAGCAAAAATACAAAATTCATATAGATATTTACATAATAATATAAGCTAAGTTGTATTAAAAAAAAGTTAATCTACAAATACTGAACTAGACTTTTTTTTTCTTTTTGCTATTAAACTAGTTGGCAAAAGTCAAAAATTTATACAAAAAGATGTAATAATTATTATATTATAAAATTTATTATATTATTATTGTTATTATTATTATCATTATTATATTACTGTATTATTATTATTACATTATTATGAAAATATTTACTTACAAGAAAGAGAATTAATTTCAAATACGTCAATAATTTTTCTGTTTAGTGTCTACATTCAAATACGACGATAATAGCTGATGAGATAACGCAGTAAGAAAACGAAAGAAGTACTATATTTTATTGTTTATCTTTGCGCAGTTTTGTGATGACTTTTTTATTGAATTTATCAGAAAAATAACTGTTTAGGACTACTTTTTTTGTTTAAGGACATCTCGCATAATACGTACCTTATTTCAAACAATTTTAATATTTTTATTACATAAAGTGTAATAAACTTTAGACGTTTGACTAGATTGTGATTGCCGTAAATTGTTTATAATTATTTGACCAATAGCATTCACGATTTATAACTCGTCAAGGTCAAACTGTACTTGTAGTCCTTTTTTTTTTATCGTTTGTCATCGCCCATGACTTTCGCCGAATTGAATCCAAACGTACAAAATTTAAGGTGAGTAACTTACTGGTTAGTTGTAACTTACAGAAGTTACTTACGTGAAAGTGTGGCACCACTTGTAAAATTATCCAGTATTACTAATTACGTAGATATCACAATGTATGCATATGGAGGGACAGATATTTGTATATATATATCACATATTATTTATATCTAAATGTTTAGTCAAAATTGTTATGTATAACATTCGAATGTTATATATATACAATTTTTAACGGAAACGAAATTGTCCGAAGTTGTTTGTACAAGAATATTTTGCCAAAGATCATAAAAAAACTACATAAATCATTCGTACAGATAAAAAGAAGAAACACTTTTTTTTATTAAATTTTATTTAATTTCAGTCAAATACCGAATCGCACGAAAGGTGATAATAACTTATTTTATTTTATTTAATTGTCAATTCTAACTATCAATTTCTAATTAAATCTTGAATATCCTAGTAAGTCCAATTCAAAGGAAAATTCTATTGTAACAGAATATTAAAGCTATACGATACGGTGACAATTATTGATAATGAAACGAACATTAGAGGTTAGTTGTGCGAATTTGAAAGGTTTTCAATCTTTAAATAAATTGGGAAATGAATGAGCGCGACACAACAAATTTCGTGAGTAACTTGTTAATTGTCGTTGCTTAATTTAATTATTGGAATAATAATGGCTATATGTCCGACGTTCTTTTTTAATACAGAGTGTCCGATCTGTAATGTATGTGATTTAAGCTCTACCACCACTATCTCGCAAGAAAGGCACACGCTTTCCTCGCGCAGTATGGCTCGTTTGATTCCAGTCGTGATTTGTTCGACCACGTTAGTTCGAGGAGGTTTTATTTCATTTACGAGCGAAATCGTGCGCAAATAATCCAAGATCCACATCATGGACGACGAGTGGGGTACGTATAAATCGATTCTTAAGCATTGAAGTGTCACGCAATTGTACGTTCGGTCAAAACGGTGAAACCATTTTAACCTTCAACTTCGCAGATGTCGAAAACGCTGAGGCGAAATTCGACCTCGCCATCAGATCCAACAAGTGGGAGGGCGAAGACGAAGACGAAGACGTCAAGGTTCTGCGTTACTGATTTTCCTTTTTTAATATTAAGCACACTGGTTTTTCAAAATCCCCCGTTCAGAGAACAGGCTATAAGTTATAGTTAACCTTTCTATAGATATGGTCAACATAACTCAAATAGCGCGACAATTGCTCCTCAAGCAGATTTATCTCAAATTTGAATTGGGTAAAAGTTGAAATGACGGGGATTTATTTAAATCAATGTTTAAATTGATTAGAAATTTGCGATTGTTAATTAAACGCGTTATATACGTTATTAAATTTAATTCTATATGAAGATGAATAAATTGTTAATTTGTCTTAATTTTAAAGCAATATCATGTATATAACTGTATAATATTCGAATATCTCTATTTAGATATCTTAATAAAATTGAAATCATCGATTTGATAACTAATAGAAATTATCGGAATGTATTTAAGCTCGTATAAGTTACAAATTGGCAGTACAAACTTGATATAAAAATGATATGAACTTAAAAAAATAAATACTTGTACAATGATTTTAAAAAGAATCAATCAACAGGATAGTTGGGAAGATGTCGAGGAGGAAAAAAAAGATGTAGAGAAACCTGCAGAAGTGCCTAAGGCTAAACCAAAGCCAAGAAAAGCTTTGGCAGAAAGAATTGAAGAACGCGAGGTATAATTACATTTTTTAATTTTCTCATTTAATTAAATTAGTAACTGAAATTTAAAATTTTAATCTTATCAATTATTTATTTTATGTGAGATAAAATATCTTATAAATTTAAAAAGAAGTCTCATTTATTCTGTATTTCGAACATACTTCATGAACACTTTTTTCTCAGTTTTAATTGCATCTGTACATAATTGAAAATTTATAATTTTGGAATTTAATTGTCTTTCATTACTAACTTGTATATATTCGCTTACATTATTTTCTTATAACTATATGCAGCTTATAATTATATATTTTTGTTTATCCAATTTTAATTAGCACGTTTCAAATGTTTATGGTTCAAAAATATTTTAAACCTTTTTAATTATAGAAAAAAGCAAGAGCAGAGGCAGAAAGGAAAGCTAAAGAGAAAGAAGAAGCATTAACACCAGAAGAGAGGAGAGCAGAACAATTAAGACGTCAAAGGCTCCAAGAAGAAGCTGACTTACGCCTTGCCATGGAAACTTTCGGTTTGTCCAACCTTGTTGATTTTTCTCACCGCAAGCCGCACAAAACTGAGAAGAAATGACTTCACTAAAAAGTTTTATCTATTAACTCTTTGCACTCCTATTTTTTATTTAATAATACAAATTTTAAGTAAATTATGTAGTCATTTTGCCAATATTTAATATGAAAATGTTATCTTTCTTAAAAGTATTAAAAAAATTATATCCTTTCCGGTCAAAACGCTCAAAGGCAAATGTAGTTAGTTAGGCGTAGCTTACTCAGTGTAGCGGAATGTAATAATAAGATGATTGAAATCACACTGAACTAACTAAAAGCCAGTGAAATATATAAAATTGTAACGAAATCGAACTACTTCCATGAGAATCTTTTCAGTGATTGTTGTTTTTAACTAAAGAAATTTTCGACTGATTGATCCAAAAGAACTAAAGGTTTTGTGTATTTATGAGCCCTATTCGTTATTTATATTTCAAAAATAACTTTATTGTATGCTACTCATGTATAAGGATCTCAAGGATAAATATGAAAACAGCCGTACGAGCGATAACAGTCAAAAATTCTCTGAATTTGGAAATACCTGGACTTCGATCGGAAAGGGTTAAAATTAGTATCTTATTTTCAAACAAGAATATGTTTATATTTTTAAAATTTTTGATTTTGCTACCGCAAAAGTGTAAATTATTTTGTAATTTTACATAAAATTGACATAAAACAGATCTAAATAGAAAGTACAGTAGATAATTAGCATAAGTATATAAGCATTGTTATTTGTTTTATAATCTTGTTTAATTTTAAGTTTGGCTTCAATATTTGAAATATTTCTTTATCTTTGAATCTCCAGTTTTCAAATGATATTAAGTTACAGTTGAGTTAAAAAGACTCTACATTTAGATTTAAAATTGAAGATTTAAAATTGAAGATTTTGAATTGAAGTTTTTAAATTAAGATGCTTAATTATTTCTTGACATGAATTTTATATTTTTGAGATGTATTTTATTTTACTTTAGAAAAAATCAATTTAAAAATTCCAAAGATTGTATTTATTCAAGATTTGATAATTGGATCGCAAAGAGTTGATTCTACATTCATGGCTTAATGCAAATTTTTAATGGCTTAATTATATTTTAAAGCTTTATCTTTCATAAACTAATATATAGTATGTTTGCCAGTATTAAACGTTATTGATGTAAAAATTAAAATGATTATTATGTAATTTTTAAATACATTCCATTTAGTAAAATAAGTATGTAACATAAAACTTATAACAGTTTTTAATTGGACATTTTTTTAAAAGAATAATACAAAATATTTTTTATATAAATTAGAATTAGAGTAAAATAGTTATGAAAAAATTCTGAATAACTTTTATATATTCAAAGTATTCTGTTTTCATGTTATTGCTATAAAAACTAAATAGATTTATATTTAAACTCTTGAATACTATATTTACTATTGCAATTACAATAGTGAAGTGTTACTTATTGGACATTCTAACATTTTTAAATTTAATTCTAGTAAAAAAATTAAGTTGATGTCAGGAACTGTACCAGAGATGTAAATCATGTATTTCAATGAGTTAGTATAATTTTTCAGGAAAATACAAAATTGTTATTGTATAAAAAATAAACATTTCTATTTCATAAAAAAATTATGCAGACGTGTCTTATTTATCAACATTGATCTCCTGTACCGTTCCTGATAAATATTTAATTCTAATAACAAAATATTATATATCATACAAATAATATAAAACAAAATTATTTGCCTATTAAAATCTAAAATCTCATGCAATTAAAATTATAAGTAACATTTTATTTAGGAAAGATATTTCAAAATGTCATTTTATACATATAATTTTACATATTGAACAAACGAAACTTTTATTATTATAAATCCAACTTATAAGACATAAATAAATATATGTACATTAACATATATGTAATACATACATTATTTGACGATTTTTATAATAAAAAAAATTTATAGAAATAGTTATTTTGTGATTAGATTACTAGAAATTATGATTTAATATTTCTTTCTTAGGTGTAACAGAAGAACTTGCATTGAGCCTGGATACGACAGTACCTAATACAAAAGAAGAATTCGAGCAGTATGGAAGTGTACTTACACAGAAATTAAATCAGCTTGCTAAACACGCAGAATTTCCTCCATTTGGAGAAGAACTTATTAAATCTGTTGCTCTTAATCGTAAGTACATTATATAAAAATATGTACGTGTGTCTGCATAATAACAATAATATTTTAAAAGTTTTTCCAAAAAAAATATATTTTTAAAAAATTTTATTACAATAGTATAAATTTATTTCCTCTTTATTGCAAGTTCATATTAAATAAATTAACATACCTTAATAATACATTTTTTCACGTATAATCAATCTCACGTATTCATTTTTATATTTTAAATATTAATAATAGATATGGAATTATATTAATTTTGTTTACAGTATCCTCGTCACATTTAAAGAAGGTCAAAACATTGGTCGATAATTTGTTGATCGAAAAACAAAGAATCGAGAAAGGAGAGAAGGCGAAAAAGAATAAAGGCAAGGGAAAAGCGAAATTGAAAATCGAAGGTGACAACACTCTTTTAAGCGAATACGGCGACTATGTTTACGATGACTACGATGATTTTATGTAGCGACCTTTTCACTCCATATTCTTATTATTCCCTAATTCCTTTTCTAGTCGCCTAAATACACGCAGATGGTTATTAACATTTTTGCAAATTTTATATCCTTTATTCTCTCTTTATATTCGTATTTCCAGTTTTTTAATTTTTAAATATCAGTTCGAAAATGGGTACAATCTTAAATACTTTATTCCTTAAATTTTCATATCATATATATAATATATATTATATATTTTGTTTACGTGTGTGCTAATGCGCGTGCGTACATTTTGTGTGTAAAATATATATTATATATATAAAACACTAAAAAATATAGTACATCTAACAGATGTAAAGCAAGTTTAACACAGAGTGTTAATGTGTTTTAAATATAATTGATAAAAAAACTATATTAATACTTTTCCTAATTAATTTAAATCATCAGTAATATCAAGAAATTAATCATTTTGAAATATATGTACTAATAATGAAAATTCGGATAGCGAATAGTATGAAAACAGCAGTAATAATGTTTATAGCAGCGTTGCGGAAGAAGTGAATGAGTTGGTGAAGAATATAACTTGTTGATCATGAGCATGAGAATCTTCGAAATGAATTTTATGCGCATGTCTCAATAATCTCCCATACAAGAAACTATATATGTATATATATGTATATATACACAGTTTCTTATAGTTTTATATTAACAAATATGCATGTATAGTTTTATGACTATTATTTTCATTATATATGATATTGTTTAAGTGACACTTTATAAAAAGTAACATACCTTATTTGAAAAAAATTTATGAAAATCTTTGTCGCAAAATGTGAGGAAAATTAAAATTAAATTGAATAGTACTTTTTATTAAGCTTTTTATTACACAGATAGAAGATATGCATAGTGAAATGAAAAAATTACATATATATTTATTAATTGAAAATTTTACTTGAACATGGACGAAATTTTGACGCTTACAACTATCTCATAGAACTCTACATTTACCGCAGTAAAACTAAGAGAATATCGTTCATTTTACGATAAACTAAGTATATTATTTTTTGTTTTATTCTCTTCGTAATAAATTTTAATTGTTAATAAACTTGTTCTATTTTTTTTACGAGTACAGGCTGCATTCTTTTCTTCTTTGCATGCTTCATTAGATCTGCTTGGCTTTGGTTATATCAATAACTAATTTTTATTATGCAGCAACTTATTTTTCTTAGTTTTATTGCAATAATTTTTAACAATATACTTTTTATTATAATATTAAATAAATAACATGGTAATTGTTATTTTCATCC